TTACATTTGATTAATATGTTTATCTAAAAAAAAATTAAAAATACATTAAATATACTAAACCGCGTATCGAGGGATTTGCTCACCCGAAGCTCCTGGAATCAAGCCTTATCTCTTCATACCATTCATACCACTTTATCGATATTTACATATAAAAGGTAGAGTTTATTAGGGATAAAACAGAGAACCGTTTTGAAATAGGACAGGGTTTACTCTCTGCTGTAAAATTTGGGCAACCTTACATACGAGGTTTTGCATTATTTAGATACGTGGTTTTGTACTTTAAACAACGATATGCTTAATTCGCAAAGTTGCTGTTATTACGTGCATATGTAAGCTCTGAAATGTTTGTATTTAGGAGTTGTCGTTACTTGATCCTAATTACGTTATTTTTCGTCATCGTTTTTGTTTTAAATGCCACTAAAGTTTTTATGATTCTGACCAAAATGGCACACTGTGCGACGCACTGAAGATTAATCAACGCCTTGATGCCGAAATAATTTTGAATTATGTACGCACAAACATACATATCTATGTATCTACATGCCATATATTTACGAGCATCTACATATGTACATTGTACATAGCTAGTACCTGTACGTTTTGCTTTTTGTTAGACATCCATACTAAAACTTCTGATGCAATAATACTTGAATTTACGAAATAGCAGAAGCTACTCACATATTTATTTGATTTGGCTGACCTTACGCTTTTTCGGTACTTTTTTGCTAACAGCTCACTTTTAATGATAAAGCTAAAGGTAATATACGCACTCTAGTTTGGTTAACATTTATTTATTTTTAATGCTTTTATATAGGTCAGGTGTGTAAATCACAAGGTATGAGTAAGTAGAGTATAGTAAAAACAGAAAGTTGTGCAATCAAAATTAACAGAAATCCAAAAGCTAAAATTAAAATAAAGAAGAAATGATATTATCTAAGAAAAATAAGCTCGAAGCTTTTGAGAGTAATAGCCAATTTTACGCACGCAATTTATGTGAAAACTTGTTTTTTTATTTGGGTTTAATATAGAAACGGACAGAAAAAAATCATTTTTCACTTAAATTGCTTTCGTGCAAGCGGCAGTAATATTTGGTTTCACCAGCAATTTAAATGGAAAATGATGTTTTATTTCCTGTCTATTTCCATATAAAATTCCAAAAATTAAAATGATTTACCACTTAATTGGCCATTCAAACTAACTATTTTTTTCACAAAAACTTGGCGGATTTCTTCTTGAAAAATGTTCTTCAATTTGGAGTTCAACGTCGTTTTTGGTATGCTTTTATTTTTTACATACATATATAGCCTTGGCCAAAAATATTAGGCACCCAAACACATCCAAAAAGAAACCTTCTTCACTTTCTTCAAAATATTTAAAAAAAAAAGTTCCTTCTATACCTTGTATGGAAGAAAATAAGTAACACCGTTAACAGAAAAAAATGCCAAAAATCAACTGGATTAACATCGTTCTGCAGCTTCTGTTTTGCAAAATATTAGGGGTCTTCTTACGGAGCTTATTACTAAGTAACTTGCTGCTCGGTAGTTTTTCTCCACGTATGTTGAACTATCTTTTTACTGGTTTAACGACACCAAAACGTTATGTAAATGTATGTACATTAGGTTGGTCCAGAAAAGTAAAGTAATATATTCTACACCGTAAACACATACCCCTGTTTTTTTTTTATTTCGAAATCAAAAAATATGAGAGATCGCTCAAAACGGTCAAAGTTTTCGATATATTTTATATGGAAAAAAAACAGTTTTTCGTAGAAATACTGTAGAATTCCTTAAAATTATTTTTATAGGTCCCCCATAAACCCCAAAAAAATGCAATGGAGGCACCCATAAAAAATCGTTAGCATTAAAAGTGGTAAATTAAGAGAAACAAAGTTTTTCGATTGAAAAATATTTACTTCAAGTATTCTATTCCATTTCTACTAAAACTTGTTGTTTCCCCATATAAAATATATACCTAGGGTACCTATGTTTTGTTTTTATTTAGAACAATCCCAGGGGGTAAAAGCAATAAAATTCCGACTTTGCTTTTTCACGTGAATTTTTGGACCACCATAATGTACATACATACCATGTACATTGTCCACAGTGATTTACACAAAGAGAAGATGTACTTAGAAAAGCTAAGGCATTTCAAAGATTTCCGTTGTGTTCAGTGATGATGAATACCAAAAAAGCGAAATCGAGGGGACTTTTTTGTATGAGCTTGTTAGGTTGTTTATACACAATTTATACCTCCAGGTTAAATAGATATGAGATGCAGGCATTTATTTTCCATTGCCACTATGGGCAGGTGCTTTTGTTACTTTCAGTTACTTAAAAAAAAAAAA